TGTATTTGTTTAAGTCTATCATATCACCACCTTTTTTCCAGCTCATAGCCATTTGAATGATTTCTTTCTTGCATCTTAACATTCCAAATCATACCATTTTTGTTATTCACGTCAAATTACCCTGAAAAGACCTTCGACGCAAATGTACTACCTTCGCATGCTTTAACCAAGTTTGTGTTGTGTTAAAACTCCACATTTGATTCTCCATCTGACTTGTAATTATTAAGTTTAATATAAATTTGTCCGATAATAAAAATTAGTTTATTCTTGTAGAAGTATTTTTTTGTATTTCAGTTAACAAATTTAAGTAAATATGCATCTACATCGTTTATACTTGTTAAAACAACAATTCTGGTTCCCCATCTGACACCAGTAGCTGGTGCTGCTGTTGACTATACGCGTGGGATTTGATGTGGATCAGCCTAGGTTAATTATTTACGTTGCCTCCAACTTGTGTAGGTTAATTGTCGTACGCTGTTAATTTTGTTGGTATTTGTTGTATATTCTGGTAGCGTTTAAATCCAAATGGAACAAATGCGTTTTCATTGAGATTTGGAATTTATTATTAACGCTAATTCTGGTTCTGCAATAAATTGCTGCGTTTGAACAATCGTGCCGTACTAAAACTTTTCACGTGCATAAAATTATGTATTTAATCGATTGAACTAAAGCTAAACCTTTAAGGTGCATAAAATTATATATTTAATCAATTGAATTACCTTCACTGTTCACACTGTAGAATTTTCTACAACACAGCTTACAATGCAAACCACACTTTGCGCACTTTACGCTTGTACGTGTTTCTATTGCTTGTGTTTCTATTTTGTTTTCTAAAATTGTGCTATTGTGTCGCTTACGGTACCAGAGTAGTTTTCACGTTTTGATGATTTATGTTATTTTAATAAAAATATTGCAGTTAAATGAATGTTTTATAATTTTACTGCATCAAAACTTCACTTCATTTTTTCTTTCCGGGGTCAGATAGTTAAGCAATGATACCAACATCCACAGTGCCTCACGAGCTTGGTGCAAGCTCAACAAGATATGTTTTTCTAAGCACGTTATACAATGTCAGCATATTCCACTGATTACATTGTGGGATCGTTGGCTTCAGCATAGTTCAATGCTACAGTTTCGTAACATAAGACTTCAACGCGAAGCCAATTTATAAATATTTACTGCCGGCCAATCCGGCTTCAACAAGACCCTATTGGGTGTGCACCTACAACAGTTGGCACAGATTCTTATATATCATATCAGTTCAGATAGCAACTGCATTTTAGTTTCATTTGATATACATAGGTATGTATATGTAAATACATTTTTGTAAACGAGTTTGTAATTAAATTTTTTGCACACATATGGATAAATTTTATACTGTATATTAAATGAAATTTTTATACAAATATTTTATTTCACTTTACATTTCCACATACATTAATTAATTTTATTTAATTTATCTCATTGTAATAAAAAATATACTGACCAGTAGTAAATAAGTTTTACAGATTCATAGTTTACAACTGCTTTTAATAATTTTAATATTTGTAATATTTGAGTACATTTGACACGGAGGAATTTTTTTCATTAGTAGGCGTTTTCGGTGGCTAGCAAGTGTGTCAAAAAACAGCAAGTTTCTGGCCTATAGTAGCTGAAATGTATGCAAAAGAACAACACTATTTTCTCTATCTAGGCCAGTAGTTGTATGCTGGTCACACACTTCAGTCAGTAAAAAAAAATGATACTAATAGGCCTTTACGGTGGCTCGCAAGTATGGCAAAAAATGCATGCTGGCCTATATTATCCACGCAAGTCATTGGCATCACTGTTGCAATCTGTCACGTGTTACGTTTTGACAAAAAACAAAAATAGCATAATACAAGCAAATTACATTGCGTATAAAAATAAATAATTAACATAAATTAAAAATTAAAATTAATTAAATGTCTTCATTTTCAGTTAAGAGAAATAAATAAATTTATTTTATAAATTTTCGTTTATAAATTTTGGGTTGATATTGGGCGACAGGTTAATATTATTATAATAATGGTTTGATAATTTATTTAAATATTTTGAACTTTGAACTGAATAACAAAAGTTAAACCATATTAATTGTATGTATTAGAGTACTGCACGCGCGCATTTGATTTCAGTTTCAAAGCATTCTATTGTGTTTAGAATGGTAGCATACTCTCACTCTCAACGAACAAATACGAATGTATAGGCATAAAAACAAAATGGAATGGAAAAAATATTTGTTTCGTTTGTTTAGAGTACTCTAACTCTAAACATTCTAAAAGTAGTTGAAGTAGTTGGGAGTAGTGCTGTTCATATTCGAATTTACGAAGTATTCGAAGAAATTCGAATATTCGAATAGTAAACGAAGTCTTCG